CTTGAACTGTTTCCTTCACCTGTTTGATTGCTTTTTCTTAGTTTTCTTGGCTTTCTTCAAGGAATTTAATAATGTCTTCCAATTTTTTGTTTGTCTTTTCCTCGATTTCTTTAAGGGAATTTTTCATTTCCTCTTTAAAGGCCTCTATCATCTTCATAAAGTCATTTTTAAGGTCGTTTTTTTCTGCTTCTTCTATGCTTGGGTGTTCAGGTCTGGCTCTTGTAAGTTCTGCTGGTGCCGTATTGCTCTTTATGTTGTTGAATGTATGCTTGCATTGGCGTCTACCCATCTCTTCCTCCAATCAGTGCAAGGAGTGTCTGTGTCTCGGGGAGCTGCTGGGGTCTCGGAGGATTGGGTTTGTTTGGGGGACGGAGTGGGACTTGTAGATTTCAGGGTCCAGTGGTGGTGGTGGGGAAGTCTTGCCTGCTGGCCTGCAACTGGGGCTGCAATGGGTGGGGGTGAGAAGGGGGCACAGGTTGTGCCTTGGGGCCTAGGGTCTAGAGACTGGGCTGACCGGCTGGGAGAGGAGTCACTCACCTCTTGATCCTATTGGGGAGCTACCGAGGTCTTGGGGAATGGGTGGGTTTGGGGGATGGAGTGGGGCTTTTAGATACAGGGTCTGATAGGGGGTGGTGGTGGGCAGGCCAGCAGATGTCTTGCCTGCTGACCTGCAACTGGGGTGTGAAGGACATTTTATATTCGTCTGTACAAGAATGTGCTTATTATGTACTTCCTTGTTTACATCTCATGGTATACACACATACAGATTTCTATCAGGTTTGCTTTTATTGGAATTACTAAATTATAGGCTATATATGACAACCTAAGCTTTATGGTTAGGACGATAGTTTTCTAAACATGGTTATGTTAAGTTACTCTGACTCTTAATATATTCATGATTCTTGTTCTACATCCTTGTCACATGATACACTACCAGACTTTGAAGTTTTACCACACTGGGTGGGAAGATATATTATTTGTTTTGTGTTGTTTTGGCTATAGCCAGGGTAATTTATAGTGAAAATAATTTTGTTAGCTAATGGTTCTAGGGGCCAGGAACTCAAATACTGAGCATCTTGTACCTGAGAGGGGCCTTCTTGTTGGTTTATTCCATTGTAGGACTAGAGAGACACGGCAAGGAGGGGCCTGCACTCTTCCTTTCTATTACGGACCCCTCCTGCAGAAGTGGCATTCATTCTTCCTGGAGGACAGTGTTCTAGTGTCCCAAACACCTTCCAATAGGCCCTGCTTTCCAGTGTCCCATTTACTTTATCAAAGTTATTAATGGATCTAGAAAGATGTATTTTGTTTTGTTTTTTTGAGATGGGGTCTCTCTATGTAGTCCTGGATGTCCTAGAGCTTGCTCCATAGACCAGGCTGGCTTCAAACTCACAGAGATCATCCTGCGTCTGCCTCCCGAGTGCTAGGATTAAAGGTGTATACCATCACAACTGACTAAAAGATATATTTTTGTTCAACATTTTTAATTGTGTCCAGTGGTATCAGATTATCTTGTCTATGAGACTCTTAAAGTGTAAATCCAGATCTTTTTCTACAAAACTAGTTTTCTTCTTAATTTAAAATATAATTTATCAATTTTAAAAGAGCAAAATAAGCCAGAAGGAATTAATAAACATAAAAGGTGAACAAGTGAAATAAAATCCAAACAAATGGTAAAATAACAAAATATAAATGCTAATGTGCAAAGAAGCTTGTTCTTCTTTATTGACTTTGTAAGAGGGCTGGAGTTGGGGTGCAGGGGTGGGGGTGCTTGTGTAGTGCCTATGACACCCTGGGTTCTATTTCCAGCACAACAAAGCCGCATAACCACAAACCCTACTTCATACATACCAACACTATGATGTTGTGTTTTAGTTTTTTTGTTTGTTTTAATGTTTAGATTTTTAAAAATTATTTAAATTTTCTTTATATCAAATTTAGATTTATAGATTTGGAATAATACATTTCTATTTAAATTTTTCACTTCAGACCTCCTATCAGAGTTCAACTCCTACAAACTAGAATTCGTAAGGAGTGGATGTGCCCATATATTTATGTGTATAATATGTGAACACACATGTACTTGATTACAGGGAATTGCTACATGGTTGTTGGAGCTGGCCTAAGCAAGTCTGGAGTTTGGAGGGCTGGCAGTCAAGATGGGAAGACCACATCAAAGGCCTGGCTGGAACTCACAGGCACAGGACAGAGCTTTTGTCCTCAGGCAGTTAGGGCAGTCACAGCTGGAGGGAGTTCTGTGAGCACAGGAAGAAGCTGCTGTCCACCAAAGGGATTTGTCATTTTGGGGGAAGCCCAGTCTCTGCCTTTAAGAATTTCCGATTGGCCCAACCAGGGCATTCCAGGTTACTCTGGAGGATGAGCTTTCCTTAAGGACTTGAAGCATGCTTGCAGAATGCCCCTCATAGTAACTGATGAATAACTAAGGACTGTAATCTATCCTAGTAACACACCAGACAAGATTCAGACCAAAACGTGGCCTGGAATTTACATGAGTAAATTCTTAAGGATAACCAAAAAATTAGAACCAAGAAAAGCAGTGAGGAAGGACTAAATCAAAATAGAGCCAATACAATGTGGTCTAGATCAGTGGGACAAAAGAATAATCCAGAAGTGGAGCCCAGAATATATTTGAGAATTTAAAATGAAACGGATTTGAGCATTTTTTTTTTTCTTTTCTTTTTTGGTAGCAGTTGAAAAAGTCAGTGGACTCTTTATTGCTTCTGGGTTGAAGAGATCAGGAGCTCTTGGTAGTATGGGTTGGCTTCCTCTTCACCACCACAGGCTGCTGGCTTCACAGGATGCCACTGGCTCTGCGAATGGCCACCATGCCCACATCAGGGCAGTACTGTTCTTGCAGATCATGTGACTGATGCTGCTGAGGCTGCCCATGCATTCTTTTTTTTTTTTTTTTTTTTTTTTTGGTTTTTCGAGACAGGGTTTCTCTGTGTAGCTTTGCGCCTTTCCTGGGACTCACGTGGTAGCCCAGGCTGGCCTCGAACTCACAGAGATCCGCCTGGCTCTGCCTCCCGAGTGCTGGGATTAAAGGCGTGCGCCACCACCACCCGGCAGCCCATGCATTCTTAATGGTAGTCCTCACATAGAAAGTGGCTGGTTTTTCCTGATATGACTACACAACCCCTTTGTCTTGGGGTGAACCAGCCTGTTGTAGCAGAAAGAGTTGTAGGACTTCAGATTACTGAACTTGGTGCTGTTCATCTGTTTATTTCTCATGATCAGGAATCTGGAGCAGTTCTGCAGGACTCCCCATTGCAGATGCATGGACATGGCAGCAGCTCCTCTCCCTATGGTGGCCAGAGACAGAAAGAGCCCAATTTGAATTATTTTTAATTTAGTGAGAAAGAAGATTTTCTAAAAATGATATTAGCTGGGCAGGACTTTAATCGCAGCACTCAAAAGGCAGGGGCCAGTTCAAGGCCAGCTTGGTCTACATAGGGAGTTCCAGGCCAAGCAGGGCTACATAGGAAGACCCTTTCTCAAAGTAAACACACACACACACACACACACACACACACACACACACACACACACACACACACAATGCCATTGGCAAACTATCCATACAGAAAAAATTAAGTTGGGCTCCATCTTATATCATATAGAGAAATAAATTCCAGTTATATCAAAACAAGAATCCTTACCTGGTAGGAGTCTTGGCTTCTGAGAGTAATTTTTGTTTGTTTTGAGATAGGGTCTTGGTGTGCTCAGATTGGCAGAACCTTCCTGCCTCTAGAATGCCGGAAGTACAGGCCTCACTAGTAGTACAGGCCTATGCCACCACATCTGGATATGAGAATGCTTTTGATGGTATAGTGCTGGGTGACTCTTCTGACATTTAGTAGGCTAGGAATTGTCAAAAAAAAGTATATTCAATGAGAAATGCTATATTAAAATTTAAATACAGCTAGCCGGGCGGTGGTGGCGCACGCCTTTAATCCCAGCACTCGGGAGGCAGAACCAGGCGGATCTCTGTGAGTTCGAGGCCAGCCTGGTCTACAGAGTGAGTTCCAGGAAAGGGGCAAAGCTACACAGAGAAACCCTGTCTCGAAAAACAAAAAACAAAAAACAACAACAAAAAAAATCACCACACCCACTTTGCCGGGCGGTGGTGGCGCACGCCTTTAATCCCAGCACTCGGGAGGCAGAGCCAGGCGGATCTCTGTGAGTTCGAGGCCAGCCTGGTCTCCAAAGCGAATTCCAGGAAAAGGCGCAAAGCTACACAGAGAAACCCTGTCTCGAAAAACCAAAAAAAAAAAAAAAAAATTTAAATACAGAGAACAAACTATCTTATAATAAATTCTAGACTGTGTGTACAATCTAGAAGTAAAGAGGATCTTAATCCAGATTAAACTCAAGAAACTGTAAGAGTAAAGGAGAACCTCTTTGTTATTCACTAAAAAGGGGTTAATTAGTAGACCAATGAGTGACTCTATTTTCTTTGCCCAGAGAACAAAGCGTTCCTATCTGCCGTCCAAAGTACTCACACAAACTGATGGCAAGACAATGAGGAGAAATACGTAAGCAGTGTACACAATGAGGTTTTCATATAAGAGCAGATCCAACTGTTGTATAAACAGAACAAAGATGTATAATAGTAGTTATAATGAAGCATCCCTTTAGATGTTAGCTTACAAAAATTTAAAAGAACAAAAACATTTATTGCTGTATTTCTTGACTTTTTTATATATTTTTTAAGTTTTTTATCTTGTTATTGTTACTTTAACATTTTTCGTTATGTTATCTTTTAGTAACACCTATACTTCGTTTCTCTAAAAGGGCAGTGATGCATTGGGAAAGAGTATGAGGTCAGTAGGCCGCACAGACTTGCCAGTGGTCACAGAGGTGCAGCTTCACCACCAGCTGAGCTCTTGATTGATTCTGAAGTGTCATCCAGCCCTGTAGTTTTGCATACTGCTTTTTAATAACCTCCTCTTCCTCCCTCCCCTCCCCCTACCTCCCAGGAACGTTTGGATGAAGCAAATGCTGCGTTGGATTCGGCCTCAAGACTTACAGAACAATTAGATCTAAAAGAAGAACAAATTGAAGAACTTAAAAAGCAAAGTAGGTCTTTTGTCTTTGTTCTCTCTAACAGTGCTTATGTTGAATCAAGTGTAGTCTTCTGCCATACGTTGGCACAGCTGAGTGAGGCTGGGGGATGTGGCTTCCATTTCCCATTCCCATGTGCAATTTGTGTCTATCTGAGTTTGTATCTAACGAAACCAGAGTCATTAGGATAGCCATGGCTGTCCAGTTAGTTCTCCTGGTTGCCAAGCTGTGACTGCTTTTTGGTTGTTGCCCTGTTGATCAAGGAGACTGATTTGACTGGTCCAATTTTTATCTTCTCCCTGATACATCTGAAGCCATCTGAGAGGGCATATGCTCAAATACTGGGTCACTTTTTGTGAAGTGAATGGCTGAGTGTAACTTACTAGATTTTTATGGTTGTGGATGGGCTTTACACCAGGCACTCAGTGTATTTGGGTTTGGTGCTTGTAAAGTATCTCGTAGTTGGCCAGTTCTCTAAAGCTGATCCCCTGTATTTAGGATTATCATTGAATTTCACATGGTATGGTAGTTCACAGTGCTATGCTAAAGCTAACAGCCGACAGTGATAGCATATCATTAAATTTAATCTCTCGATTAGGGGTAGCCAGGGACTTGAAGTTCCTCTGGGACTGTGTTTAATTAGTAATGATTTGAAGTGATTGGGGAGGTCGTAATGGAACCTAGGAATGCATTGGCTATAGATGTTTCTGTTGTCACAGCAGTTAAGAAGTATATACCATGTGTCACAAGATAGAAGTCAGAAAACACAAACAGAATTAGATGGAACAGCAGAGATGCTGTGTTCAGAAACAGTGACATGGATACTTAGGAAATAAGCCCACAAGAACCACTGGCCCACAGATACAACCCCAATAACTTGGCCTGGATCCCCCAGGAGACCCCAAGTAGATGCAGCAAAATAGTACTAGGTGCAAGGGAGTTGACATCATTGGGATAACTTCACTCTGAGACTTTGTCCTGAGATTTTGTTTCATAAGAACTGATTAGCATAGGAGCTCTAAATCTCAGGTAGGCCTGGAAATAGGCAGCAAGGAAACAATACCTAGTGAGTATCTGTTATGGACAGTTGACCTAACTTAGATTGTAACGCTTAGTTTTTTCCTTACTCATTTGCCATTCATAAACAACTAAATGTATAGTATCAGTTCCCCGTCTATAGATTAAAGAAACTGAGCTTTCCTTGCAGCTCTCTTTATTTGTACCAAAGCTTTGATCTTTCCATGTTCTGTATTCCTGTCAGGGGAGTGGGTGTTTATAAAATGTCTAGCTTGTCTTTTGTTCTCTGTAGTTCCCTTGGAGATACAGTGTTGTCCTATGTACTGAACTCTCACTGTTGAAATGGCTTCTTTAATGAGAACTGTGTATTGGGAAAATAATCTAGTTAGATAGAAAGCTAGTGCAGCTACATTAATTGGAAGACTTGGTGAACCATAATGAACACTGAGCACCCAGGGGTTAGCCACGGATGTCATATCTTAGTGCTGAGCTAAATCAGTGGAGGGAAAGGTGAGTTTTGAACTACATCACTGGGCTGTGACAGCTTGATGCCGTGTGCCTTGATGTCTCTGGCCACATCCCCATTTAGTCATTCACCGGAGTCATTCCAGTAGACCATGGTCAGATAACAGAGTCTGTAACTGAACTGTGGTATTTGGTATTTGCTCAGGCACCTATTTCAACTTCTAGGAGTAGAAATTTTTCATTGTAGCTGGTAGGACAGGTAGCCTGGGTTCCTATTTGTGTAAAACATAATTAATACTCACTATTAATAAGTAAGAACTTTGGGCTCATTCTAGGGAGTCAGTACTGGAGAGAAAGCTCTGCTTACTTCGGCTTATACAACTGCTATTTGAAAAGGCCAAGGGAGCTAGTATGGCATAGACAGGAAGGGAGAACACCAAGATGGTTGGTTGTTATGTCTTTAAATTATTCCTGCCTGTTATAGCTTCTCCTGATAGTGTTTTCTTACATTCCCTAAGCGCTTAGTGCCACGTTTATACCTCTAAACACAAATGCGATTTTATTTTCTCAATGCTGTATTCTCGATTTGATAATATAAATTCTTGATTGGCTTACTTATTTCAAAAAGCATCCCTATATATTTTTATAAGTCATTAAGTACTTTACATGTTGATTGATGTTGTAATACTGTACTTTATTTTTAACACAAAAGTTGGCCAGACAGCAAAAGTTTTTGCCAGGAGAAACAATTTTGAAAAAGACAGATTGGCTTTTGTTGAAAGAAAATACACAGACTTGAATTGTAAAGGCAAAGTATTATTTTATTTCTAAGCCTCTGTAGACTAATGATTAGTTCATCTGCTGTTTCAACATTTAGACAATATTAGGAAATTTACTTTAAGAAGTGGTATTTTATTCAGAATGGTTGATTATATCATTACTACCAAGATATGATTCAGTCTGTTTAAACATAAGGAAAGAGTGGTTACATATGACCCCGATATTAAAGCAGTACAGCATGGATGACATCAGTCCCTCTTAGAATATGTAATTGTTAATGTCAGGTACGTGCAACTGTGGTTATGAACTGGAGGCATTTATGGGCCCTGTATGAGAAACATAAAGACAGATGCCTGGGGCTTTACTAGTCAGTAAGCACCTAATAAAGACCAGCTGCTTGGCTTCATGATGGCTGCTGTGTAGAACACTAGATAGGCCCCTTTTCAAGGAGCTGAAGAAACGGCACATGACGAACTTCATAAGCTGATAATTTAAGACAGTTGTACACAGCAGTGGCCTTAAGTGGCATGTTTAGTTCCTCTTGTTGAGGGACAGAGACTTGAAGAAAGTGTTAAGCCACTAGTAGGATTTTACCTAACAAGTGTGAAAACTATTTAAACCATAAGAACTAGTTAGCTAACTCATCCTCCCAACAAGAGAAACCCTAAGATCCTGCAGGTGCTGTATTCTACTAGGCAGTGTTGACTGGTAGAGGGGTTACTGCTGCCCTTCCTTTCGGGGATTGTTCTTTCAATATTTCATCCATAGTTCAAAACGACTCTTTGCACGTGCCATCCTGGACTTTGTGTACAGTCAGTGCACCAGTCTATGAGTTGAGTAGGATGTTGTTATTCTTAGTTCATCAGAGTTGAGAGTGCCTATGGACTTGTTATTGATGAGAAAATACATTTGTGTAAACCTAGTACAGCTGAGCCACTAAAGACACATACATTGTCATGTATGTAGGTGTGTGTTTTCCTTTCTCCATTTCCCTAATTGTTTGTAAGATAAATTTCTTCTTAAATGAAAATGATAAGTTGAAATGGGAAGTATAAGGTAGTTTTTGATTTTGTAATTAATACTAAAAAGCACCTGAGTTTTGTGGTATGCAAAGAAAAGTAAGTTTTCGTAAGTAATAGAAATTTAATTCTAGTACAAGGAACATCTTTGCTCTACCTGCCAGTTTATGCCTATGTCTTTATGTGCTGGGGATGGAACCCACCGTCTTTTGCATGCTAGGAAAGTCAACTGCATCCCAAGCTCTATACTTGTATCTTAAAGGCTTTTGTAACTAATTTTTAAAAATAGTGACTACTTTTTAAAATGTGTTGTATGAATTGAAAATGGAAACTTTTCCTTAGAATATTTTTAAAAAGAAAGTCTAAAAGTATATATAAAACGAGTCCAGTAGCCGGGTGGTAGTGGCACATGCCTTTAATCCCAGCACTCAGGAGGCAGAGCCAGGTGGATCTCTGAGTTCGAGGCCAGTCTGGTCTACAGAGCGAGATCCAGGACAGGCACCAAAACTACACAGAGAAAGCCTGTCTCAAAAAAAAAAAAAAAAAAAAAAAAAAAAAAAAAAAAAAAAAAGTCCAGTAAAAGGTACTGTAATATATGAAGCATGAAAACATGTTTTAAAGTCACAGAGACAGAGGGGCTTGAAATGTTTCACATGGAACTACCTTTATGATGCTGAATGTGCCTGAGTTTTTATTTTAAATAAAGACATTCCATTTTCCAAGACATGATTTATACAAGAAAACATATAATGTCCTGTTGAACTTAAGCCAAATACATTCCCAGACGCTTTGTTACCCAAATCTTTTGAGTGAGTTCTTTATAGATGTTTTTGGCAGAAGTGGCGGTTTTAGAGGAAACATGTAAGAAGTACCAGATGCAATTTTCTGAATTGCCATAAATGGTTAAAAGTCATTTGTAATGATATAAACATCTGGGTATGCTAGACAATGCCAACATTTAAATTAAGGGGAAAAGTATATTAGGTAAATAAGCTATTTTGTACTTCTAGTTACATTTTAAACATGTTTGATATTTGATATTAATGTCTAAACTGAACAATGTTTTATAAGTTGCTATTGAAAACTAATTTCTATAAGCAGAAAGGGAAAAATGAATTATGTACTGATGAGAATATTTTATATATTTCATCTCCTTTTTTCAGTAAGGCTGAGTCATTCAGTATGTAATTTATTTTATTTGTCCTTCCTAGAGAACACCAGTCATTCATTCATTGTTATATCAAGTATTCATTGTCTATGTGTTGAGTACCAAGCACTGAATAGGCCCTGAGATAAACAGGTGACAGAGGTCTTTTTCAGGAGGGTGGCAGGCAGGAAGGGGAAGAGGCTGTGTAATCAGGTACATGCAAGGAATTGTTTTGAAAGAACCAGAAATGGTGAACAGCTATAAGGACAGAGCAGGGCAGCTGCACTTATGAACATACAATTGTGACAGTGTGTACGAGAACTGTGCACACTCAAGTCAGACAAAAGCCCAGCAAATCCCAGCAGGGAGTGGGAGGTGAGCACGGAGTCCACCCTGCCTGAGGAGCTCTTGGCAACTGAGAGCCCCTGGGAGAAGAGTCATTCATTTTTCTTTGAGAGTGCAGTCCCTTACCAGTGAGTAACCGAGCTCAAATGGAAGACACACATCCAAAAATATCTGGGCAGCACACACTGCACTGGATGGGTTATAAATAAAATGGCACAGATATTGTATGAAAAAATTTTTTC